TGGGGGAAGGGGGAAGGTGGGCCATGTGGACAGGGCCACAGAGAACAATGCCCTCTTCCCAGAGACTCTACATTGGCCTCCTTTACCACAATGGCTTCTCTGGGCTGGATGGCCTAGGTATGTCTAAAACTCTACTGCTCATAAGTACGTGTAGGGAGAGATGATAGCCTGTCATCTATGAAGTCTGAGCCCTTGTTAGTTGAGATGAAACTGGTCAGGTGAGATACTTCTCTGATCTCTGAAGTCACACACATCTGGTTTCAAGCTCTGGTGCTGCTGCTTTCTAGCTGTGTAACTTTCGTCAAGAAACCTCTCTTTTCTGAGCCTCAGTTGGAGATGGCAATAATAGCTATATCTACTTAATGGGGTTGCAGGAAAGACCAGGGTAATGCATGCAAAATGCCTGGCTCATCAAAAGCTATCCTTAATGTCAGCTATAAGTGCCACTAGGTCCCAAGATGAGTTTGCAGAGGTTCTCAAACTTCTATTGTCTAGATGTTAGTCTTGTCTGGCCTGTTCATTCTGGTGCCCAGCACAACACTCAACACAAAGTCAAGGTATTTATTCCTGCCTGGGAAGATGGCTCAGTGGGTAAAATGCTTGATGTGCAAGTATAAGGACGTCAGTTCAGATCCCTATCACCCATGTAAAAAAGTGGTAGTGGCAGTGTGCTCCTATAACCCCAGTGCTGGGCAGGATGGAGGCAGGTGGATCCCAGGGCTCAGTACAGCTGGTCTAGCTGAAACCATGAGCTTCAGGTTCAAAAAATAGATGGAGAGCAATAGAAGATACTTAAAGTCAACTTACACACACACAGGCAAGCATACATAACCACACACACACGAGTATTTAATAAAATGAGAGTTAACAGGCTATGACGTTTTCAATGATAACACAAGCCAGCTTTAGGGATCTGATGTGGAGCCCCAGGAGGTCCCAGGGACACCCTCTTAGGAATGCCCACCCTGGCCTATCTCCTCTGGTAGACAGGAATACTGAAAGCCAAGAACATGCTCAAAGGGGCAGGTCATGCAGGGAGGAAGTGGTGCCAGTTCTGGATCTTGATGGATACCCACATAGGGTCCTGAGACAGAGACCCACGCAGTCCTCAGCAGGAAGCTAAGATTGTTCCAGGCATCACAAAGGAGCTGGCAATGGAGACAGCCCCAGCCATTGCCAAAGCTCCACCTAAAAAGACATTCAGGAAGGTAAAGCAGGAAGGAGACACCAAGATGCTCCTGGGCCAGACACACCTATCCATGCTGGGTCTTCTCCAGCCTGGCCTCCATCCTATCATGCTCCCCTGACCTCTGCTATCCAGGTCTCAGAGGAATGACTCAATGGGAACCCATCACCAGGACTCCCAGGTTAGGCCAAGGGTAGTCTGTTGCATAGTATGGAAGGCAAGGAAAAGATATAGTAGTCTCTCCTGGGAAGGGGTATATAAGGGTTGGACCAGAGGCAGCAGCTGGCTAAGTATAATTTACGCCAGTAACTTCTCCCCTGAGCCCCAGAATGCGACTGTCAAGGCTCACTAGTCCCCAGCCAGCAGAACTGGAATTGAGTACTTCACTACCCAGCTGGGTCATGAGCAGTCCTTCATTCCTCTGAGGTAAGGAGGAGGGACATGAGGCTTTGGGGGACCCATTGGGTGCTCAGGCATCTGACTGGCAGGCAGCTCTTAGCAGGACCTGTGGAATGGGGAGATAGCTCAAGTCAGTGAGGTGCCTGTCCCACAAATATGAAGACCTGAGTTCAGATCCCCAGCACTCATTACAAGCTGGGCATAGTAGTGCATATTTGTAACCCCAGCAGTGGGAAGGCAGAGATGGGTGGATCCTTGGAGCTTGTTGGTCAGGCATTCTAGCGAAATTGGTAAGTGACCTCCAGATTCAGTGAAAGACTGACTCAAAAATAGGGTAGAGAGCAATTGAGGAAGACACATACAAACACACACATGCATATACCACACACTTACAAAAATATGACAGGGCACTCTGTCACTCTGCCCAGTACACTGTGTTGTCTCTGACCAGGGTCAGGGGACTAGGCTGACCCCTCAGCCTTTCTGGCTCCTGAGTTAGCTACAAAGGGCTATGGAGAAGGGCAGCCTGGAAATATCATGAGGAAAGTAACTGAGCCCCTGGTCATCTCCAGGTTCTGGGTCCCTTCCCCCTGGGCTAGCAGGCAAGGGTAGAAGGACCCTGCTTTCTTCCTCTCTTCCCCAAGCCCTCCCCTGCCTCTGGAGGTGGTTCTGTGCCCTTCTGCCTCCCGCCCCCCACACAACTGATTGCTGGCTTGCCTCTCCCTGGGATGGTTAATAAGTGCTTGGGAACATTAATTGCCAACAGGCATTAGGAGCCTAATGAGAACCATCTTCTTTGACTACTCCTGCATGGTCCATCCCAGGGCCTCCAGTAGCCTGCCAGCCCTCCCCACTGCACCTCTGAGTTCCAGACAGCCCAGGAGGAGGGGCAAGAACATCCAGGGCAGGTACCAGTATAAAACCTAAGCAGGGACAGCCAGCTGCTAGGCAAGAGGAAGACCATCCAAGCCCATTTCACAAAATGTGTCCCTTCTTGGATGAAAACTCACAGGGTCAAGAGGGCTAGGACCTGAGTCACAGCAGAGCACCTCACTAACCACTGCTCTAGCTGTCTAGACCCATACTCTCCATTTGATATGGAGGAGTGACCCTCAACTTCCATCCCATGATAAGGGCTATGCCCATGGGACTGGAGACTCTGTCCCTCCTTAGTGGGGAAGATTAAGGCCAGACCTTTGAGGACTCCCACATGACATCCAATGATGCTGTCAAGTCGTTGTCATTGATCCTATGCCTGATTGACAGTTGACTGTCAGGTCTGGTTTGTGTTGCCATCTAACGGAAGGGGCGCTGATGGTGGGAATGAATGGCTGACTTCTACTACTCCCCTCGCCAGCAGGCGACTCGGTGGAGTACAAGAGAGGCAGCTCCTCACAATCCCCTAGGTCCTTCAGAGGCTAGCAAAACAACCTGTAGGCAGAGGCAGACCCCTCCTCTCCGTGTCCCACCTGACAGCCCCGGCCCATCCCCCCTGAAGCTGAGCTCCAAAGCCTAAAAGCCCGGCGCAGGCAGCTAGCTAGCTTGATTCCCACAGGGTGCCCTGCGGAGACCCACGCAGACCCCGGGGCTTGGGGGGGGGGGCTGCCCCCTGCCCCCTACCCGCGCCTCGGGTAGAGTGGCAGAAAACATACGGGCGGGGAGCTCGAATCCTTTGAAAAGGGACATTCGGCGTCCACCGGGGAGAAACGCAGTCGCCGCAGCTGGCCAGCCCCACTTGGGTCTCAGCGCTAGCCTGCATCGGGGAGGAAGGATTAAAAAAAAAACAAAAAAACCTTAAAGCCATGGGGAACAGAATGGCGAGGCCGGCCGCGGAACGACTCTCATTAAGGAGCCGCGCGCGCCCCCAGGCTGGGAATGCGGAATGGACACGTGGACAGACTGGGGATCCGGGGGAGAGGGGGGGTTGTCTCCGTGGCGCGCGAGCCGCGGGCCGCGCGCTCCGGGGCCACGTGATCACGGGGAATCTGGGAGGGAGGGGAGGGAGGGACGGAGAGAAGAGAAGGGAGCGAGCGCGCCAAGCTGGGCGCCCGCCCGCTGTTGCCCGGGTGGGCGCTGGATGCCGGACCCAGGAGGAGGGCGGCGAGCGCTAGTGTGTGTCGCTCTCGAGTCATTTACCGCGGAATAGCAGCGGCGAGGAGGTGGCGGCGGAGATAGCTTCGTGCAACTGTGCCCCCCCCTTTTTTTTCTCCTTGATTCTTCTCCCCACACACGTCCATGGGGAGCTGGCCCCTCTGCCGGCACCTCCTCTCCGCCCGGCCTCCTAGTCACGAGCTGCCGTTTCTCTGGCCCCCGGCTGCGCAGGTGCCGGTGCCCTAGCCCCCTGGCCCCGTGCCCGCGTCTCACCACCCGCAGCCCGAACTGGCGCGGCGATCAGCTCGCCCAAACTGACTCTGAGAGAGCGACAGCCGATGCCTTGCCGCACTGAGGCAGCGGGCGAGCGGGCGTCCAGGGGCAGGGCGGGGGTGATGGGGAGGACCAGGCGTCGGAGACTCTGAACCCCGGAAAAGTTCAAGGTTTGTGCAGGTTCCCCCCAAGAAAGGCGAGGAGCGAAGCGAGGCGGGGCAGCGTGTACCTCTGCTGAGACAGCGACACCCGAGAGGAGAGAGAAGGGTGGCCCGGAGCTGCCGCGGGTTGGCCACCCCCTCTCCATCCTACAACGCTCCGGGGCTGGATACTGGAGGCGACGCTCCGGGAAGAAATGGCTCGAGTCGGGGCTCCTTAGCTGGCTTTCCCTCTCCCTCGCTTCTCCGAGCCCCATCTCCATGGGGCAGTCGGTTCCTGGCGCGCCACCCTCTCCCCAGCCATCGAGCCACTGCCTGGCCAGGAGGCGCCGAGCCGGCTTGAGCTAGTGCGGGCCCGGGTCAAGATTAGAGAGAGCGCTCTGGAGTCCAGGACCAAGCTTTTCGAGGGGACAAACATCTGACCATTCGCCTCGGGGGCATTCCAAGTCTGGGCGTCGCCTAGGGTGGTGGCGACCCGCGTCACCAGTCTCAGCCCTACGCGGAAACTTTTCCTTCCCTAGACGGATTAAAGTTGCCTGCATTTTCTCTCTCTTTGCTAAAGAACCCATCCATTTATTTGCTCCCGACCTGGGATTTTTTCAAGCTGGGGCTGCTGCAGGGCGCTTGGAGGAAGCAAGCCGCGCTCTGCAAGTGGGGTTACCACCGACACCACGGCGATCCGGGCTCGCCTTGGGACTCTACACCCTCGAGCGAGTACGGATCAGAGTGTCTCTGCGAGGCCAGGGGCTTCGGCACCCGCCTCTTGCAGCCCCCGGGACGCCCGCCGCCACCGGGCCCCTGGACCGCACGTGCTGCTCCCCCCTCGCCTCGCAGATCCTGCAGGGGGCACCAGCCCGGGGAGGTGGAGGCTCCTCCCGCCCAGAGCTGCGCCCCCACCGGCTCCGAGGGTGTAGCCGGCGGCGCCTGGGACGCCCCTTCCCCTCAAAGTGTCCCCGAATTGAGCTCTCGGGTCCCCAAGGCTCAGCGGAGACAGCTGGGAGCCCCAGCGAGTTGGATGTGACAGAGCCCAGCCTGGGGCCGAGTCATTGTGGACTGCTGTCCCCTGGGACCCCTCCCGCCCACGCCTCGGCCATGGCCCCGGGGATGTCGGGCCGCGGCGGCGCCGCCCTGCTCTGCCTCTCCGCGTTGCTCGCCCACGGTAAGTGTCGCGGCGCAGACTCGGGGTGAAGATGCGGCGGCGCCCCTGGAGGGGGCATAGGGAGAATCAGAGACAGGAGCACCCCCATCCCAGCCCTTCTGGACTCAGTATCCCCTGCACAACTGAAGCCCGCCGAAGAGACCCAACTCGGCCCAGGAGAGGCCGGGGGAGGGGGTGGCTCCCGTGGGCTCCGGGTTAGAAAGAGGGGTCCAACCCGAGCCCCCGGGGGCGTGTCTGCCCATGGAGATCTAGAGGGACGCAAGATCCCAGAGATCGGGTCCTGGCTACCCAATCCTGCTCCTGCTGCAGCCGGCCTGGCGGAGGACCACTGGGACCCGCGGGATCGCGACTTCTCGGCCCAGGCGCGCAGGCGGGTACCGGGCCGCGCGGCCGGCTGCCTGGCTTCCTGCGGCGGGCCTCGGGCAGAGATGCGCACGGCCGAGGCCCGGAGGTTTGTGAGCTGCATCTCAATGGCTGGCCGGCTCAGCAGGCTCCGGCCCCGAGGCTGGCGGCGCGCGGAAGCAGCGGGGCCGCGCTCCCGCGTTCTGCAATCTGTTGCGTCTGCTCCCCAGGCTCGCCCCAGGCTCCGCGGGAAAGGGGTGGCAGAGGGAGGGGCCCTGGGCTGCGCACCTCAGTAGGGGGACAGCGAGGATGTGAGTTGGGGACACGGGGGTCGCAGGACAGCCTCTCCCACCCAGAGTGGGAACTCAGATGAGGCGGGAGGAGGCTGAGGCACAAGCTGGAGATGCTTCAGCACCCCTGGCCTGCTGACCGAAGCGGGAGGGAGGAAGCTGGGAGAGGCGGATGAAGAAGACGACCCCGCCCGACGTGGAACCAGCAAACCCGGGACCTTTTCCCCAACCAACAAGAGAGTGTTGTGGGGTGAGCTCCTATGCCCCAGGTCCGAGGGGTGAGCCAAGGACAGGATTTGGAGAGGGCCATAGGTTTGGTGTCGATGGAGAACGCTTTATGTGTGGTGGTCAGCTTTACTCAGTTCTGCCCAGTCCCTAAGATCCTGCCCTAGCCCCCTTTAGCCCACTGAAGGTCTCTAGCCAGAGGCATCTCTCACCCTGACCAGGGTGCATTGTCAAGGTTGAAAGAATGAAGGAAAGAGTGGCCTCTAGGGATTGTGGAGCCATAAGCTAGGAGGTGAGGGAACAAACTGACCTCTCTCTCTGGCTGGGGGTGAGCTGTTTCCTTTAGTTCCTCTGGTTCCTCTCCTTTCTTCATAGGAATAATGGGCAGGCAACAGCCAGCAGCGATAGGGTAAGGAGGGAGGGCTAGAGGGTGCAGCCAGAGAAGTCTGCATCCCTGGGAGAGATTGAGACCAGAAAGGTGAGACAGCCCCCTGCCTGCACACTGGAGTGTATCAGGCCAGCCTGAGACCTGGGAGGGTGAGCTGGAGCTCAGCCCAGCAGGCCTCTGCTAGGTGTGGCTCTTTCCTCCTCTTGAGTTCCAGCCCCAGTTCACCCTTGGCCCCTGGGCAGCTCAGCTGTTGTCCCTAGGTCCCTGCTGCCCACCATTCACGTTCTCTGGCCTGGCATTAGATATCCTTTCCCCCTCCTGTCTTGCCAGCGCTGTCTACTTCCTAAGCCCCAGCTCCAGGTGAGCCTTCTGGGGTGTGCTGCCTGCTGGTACCTGTGAGCTTTAGCTCTCTGCCTCTGGTTTCCCTAGGCTCCATGCCCTCTCAGGGCCCAGGCAGACCAGGAGCTCTGAGCAGGGACTCCTATTCTCTCCCTGTCCACACAGTGCCTACATGGTGCCAGCAAACTCAGGATTGTGGACAGTAGTGGAGGAAGTGGACAGGACCGCATTGTCCCCACTCCTGGCTCTTTAAGGTGTTTGGACTACTCAGGCCAACTCTCAGTGGGTTTTCTAGGTTGTTCTGAGATGTTGCGATAGGGAGGAGCTGCAGAATGTGATGCTTGGAAGGTGACTGAGGCGGCAGAGTCCAGACTGCACAGTCAGACTGGAGGCTAAGCCACCTGGGCTTCTGTCTAACTATGGCGCCATTGGGCCCAGCTCAGCCTATAGGGTGGGCAGAGTAAGGTCTGTTTGTCTCCCACTCTGTTAGTCTCAAGGCTTTTTCAGAACAAAAAGGTAGTTTTCTTATGCCTATCTTTCAGGAGATTCTTCCATTTTTAGTTTGACTAGGACCTTGAGGGGGCGGGGGTGGTCAGTGTAGTCATTGGACCTATTGAAGAGCTGATTGTGTCTTCTCTTATCAGTAACTTTCACTGGCTCCCCACTGCCTATGGGATCAAAGATCCACCCTTTGCCCTGGCATCTGCCGTCTTTCATGATCTTATCCCATTCAACATCTTCCCATGGGTGCTCCTGCCCTCTCTCCATTCTGCATGTGCCATCTCACTTCCCAGCATTCCATAGGCAGTACCGTGCTTTCAGAAATCCTTACTCAGCCTTCAAAGCCTAGTTCCAACAGCATCTCCTCCAGAGTGTCTCCCTAGATCACCCCGTCTTCTCACCACCCTTTCTTGAATGTTCTCCATGCTACCCTGGCACTTCCCACTGCCTTTCTAGCCCTGCTTACAACTGGCATCTCCATGTGTAAAGGATGTGCAGGGCATATTGCCCCAGGCCATCCTCTGGCACCTACACATTTACCCGTATCAGCTTTATCGCCAGTGTCCCCTCACACAACAGGGGCTCAGAAGAAATGGATGGGATGAGGCAGGGTCACTGAGGTAGGGTTCGCAGGCAGAGGAAGAGATAGACAGCCTCCAGGAAGAGCAAAAGAGGAAGCAGGTCCAGGTCTTGTCCCTTGAGCCATTCCTTCAGGTTGCAAGTTCCAGGTGGCATATTGGGCCATGGGCTTGGGAGACGACTGGGTGTTCCATGTGGCTCCCAGCCCCCCAGACTTCTCCCTGCAGGTGGTGTCCATGACCCCCATTGTATCCCCTGGAAAGAAGGGGAGTGCAGCAGGCCAGGAGAGAGGCTTGTGCTGTTTGTTGGCCCTAGAGCTGAGTGCCACTCAGCTCTGTTAATGTGTGAGGCCAGTAGGTGGAGATGTGTTCTAAACGTGGTAGCAGAAAATGAGCTTTACTGGAATGCTTTCTGAGGACGGTTGGGTGCTGGGCTGCAGGAGCTATGCAAGGCTCTGTGGAAAGCCAGGGCTGGAGCTGGGTCACCACACACACACACACACACACACACACACACACACACACACCGGCCCTGCAAGGGCACCCACAAGATTGGAGTGGGCAGAAGGCTACAGACACCATCCCCCAACCACCAGGGTGTGGCTCACCCACATGGGCAGGGTCTGGTGTTGTGAACCTCCAACACTGAAGAGAGAGACCCTAGGCTGCCAAATCCAACCTTCTAGTATGTGTGAATGAGGAAGTAGACACTCAGGGAAGGGCCTGCCCCATTCTGGGGCAAGTTAATGCTGGAAATTGGGCCCATCCCCGGAGCCTAAACAGGGCTCCTGGTTTGGCTCATGGTCCTTAGAGGGGCCACGCCACCTCTGCCATCCTGAGATGTTCTGATAGCCTCTGGTGGTCAGCCATCAGGCAAGCTATTCTTAATGCCCCTGGCCAAGCATCATGGGGTAACAGGAGGGCTGGAGTTTCGCTCCTGACTGGAGCTCTTAGCACTGCCTCAGTATCCAGACAAAGCCCCACCATTTCTGCTCTTGGGCACTTTGCAGCCAGGCCTATTGGCACTAGTTTATTACCCCAGCCACTCTGGAGGCTGAGATGGGAGGATCCCAAATTTAAGACCTGTCTGGGAAACAGATCAAGTTCAATGCCAGCCTGGCAAGCTGGTGAGACCCTCTCTAAGATCTGAGAAAGAAGGCTGGGTGTACAGCTCAGTGACAGAGTGCTGGTCTGACATATAAAATGCCTTGGGTTTGATCCCAGACAGGACAAAAACAATTTTGTAAGGCAGCTTGGACGCACAGAGCCTGCAGGCCGTGGGACAGTCAGTAGGCACAGAGCCCAGGGAAGTCCCCTCCTCCTGAGTCTGTTTTCCTCCTCTGCCAAAGGCAGGGTATCCATGCTGCTCCCCAAGAGGCCCTTCTCACCTTCCTCAGTCTCCACCTCCCTCCACCACGCCCACAGCAGAAGCCAACACGTGGCTCCAATTCCCCTCCCCCTCCACAGGGTAGTCCCCCCTCCTCCCCTGCCCAAGCTCAACACAGAATTTTTAATAAGAAATTAATGAACCGGTTGTGTGTGTGTGTATTTTTAAGAAAATAAATATGTTTCTATTTTTCCTTTGAGCTGCAAAGCCAAGTGGGCATGCCTTGCCTTCAGTTCAGCCTGCTGTGCCCCAGGGCTGTCCCCAAGGATGGACCACATATCTGCCAGTGCCCCATGATCAGCCAGCCAAACGTAGTCAGTGGAAGGTGATTGGGCCCTTAGGGAGGGAACAGGTAAGGCCAGAGGGGCAGCAGACCGCCCCCCATGGGCTGGGAGTCCACAAGTCACTGTCCCCTTTGCTGTCTTTGACCCTTGCCATTCTCCTTCCTCCCTGCTACCCCTCATACCTCCAACAGCAGGCCCTGCTGGCTCCCAGCACCCAGCAGGATGAAGTGGAAAATGGAAGCAATTACCTAGATAATTCAATGCTTGTTGCATGAATGAATGGATGCAGTAATGAATAATTCAGTGCAAGAGAGAGAGAGAGAGAGAGAGAGAGAGAGAGAGAAATGTAGAAAAGGTAATTGAAGAAAATATTTTTTTACTAAATTGTCTAGATGATTACCTGCCTTTGGAAAGTTCTCCTTTTTATCATACCTGAGTCCTTCTTGCTGCATTCTCTCCCAAACATTTTGGGTCTGTGAGACTTGGACAACTAATCTGCTCTCGTCTCTCAAATGGCTTATTCTTTTCAGTTCAGATAGTGGGTAGGTTATGTGCTTGCTGGTGGAACCTGCCAGCCTGTCTCTGTCTCCCTGGTTCCATCTTTGGGGATGAAAGAATGGGATGCCCAGGGTTTGCAAAATGGATGGATGCTTCTTTAAATTGTCT